CTAGACCCTAAATCCCTTAACCCTAAACCCTTAACCCTTAACCCTTAACCCTACGGACCGAAGGCGGCTTGTGGTGGTCCGGGGTCTGGAGTCGCATCTAACCTGAGGAGCTACAGTCTAAACTCCCTTAAAGAGGGTAATATGAGCCACATGATCTAGGTTTAGGGTTTAGGGTTTAGGGTTTAGGATTTAGGGTTTAGGGTTTAGGGTTTAGGGTTTCGGATTTAGGGTTTAGGGTTGTCTAAACTCCCTTAAAGAGGGCAATATGAGCCATAGTCTAAACTCCTTGAAGGGGAGATATATAGGGGATTATATAGGGGGCTACTATAGGGGTTATTAAGGGGGATACTAGGAGTTTGGACTATAGCACATATAGGGAATAATATCGGGCTTATTAAGCGGGATACTAGGAGTTTAGACCAGCTCATAGAGGCCTAACGCATACTAATATGATGATATTCCTCTCACGATTATGGTATACGGTACGTTTAGTAGACCTCAAAATTTTAGAGGTACTCATTTTTTGGCCGTTTAAGCTCCCATATTTGCCATACTCGGAGTATGTTCAATGCGATTTTTTCACGAGGAAGTGTAACAGGCTAGCAGATGCCAGAATTCTGGGCACGCCCCTCCAGGCACCTCTTCTTTTAAAACGTACCTTGGCCCCTGAAGTATGTGGAATAACTTGTTTTTGACAGATTTTACAGGTGTTGGGCGATTGATTGACCTACATTTACGGTCCACGTAAACCCTAAACCCTACATTGGACCCCAAATTTCCTGGAGACTGAAGCAAAGGCCTCGAAGAGGGAGAGACCTTCATCCCACCCAACCCGAGCTTCTCGTATGCTGCTGGGACTGCAACGTAAGAGACTTTTATAAGGTTTACTGGGTAGGCCCCTGGGATATTTAATATTTTCCCTAATGGCTTTAATAGGGGACCATATATACTAATATTTTTCAATGGGTTTTAGGGGCCAACCTAGTTTAGTGTGGAGGGTTTCCAAGATTGGGGTTTAATTGTTTTGGCATATTCTGTAAGGCCGCTATTTCGGCTGCTTTTACGTAGGCATTCGAGGAATACATTCTTTTGCACGAAGCTTCGGCAATGGCAGGATAATTTCATGTGAACCTTTCAGGGACGAGTTCTTCAGCATTACGACGTTACGATGAGCAGGCTGGTGCTCAGAAGGGAAATTCGGCATAGCAGGCATGGATTGAAGCAGTGGCCTGTAGTAATTACTCCTTCTACAGTTCACATTGCTCAGACCTATACCCTATGCACTTCGAACAATAAACCTTAGGAGGATTCCCCACCCTGCAATAATGGTGTGATAGGAATATAGCAGGACCCGAATATGGTCCTTATTAACCCTCATAGCCACTATTACAGGGTGGGGGGTTTACCTAAAATGAACCTTACTTACCCTTAAGCCCTGAGCCTATACCCTACGCACCATATAACCCCAATTAAAACCCTGTAAAACCCCATTAGAAACCCTTCAAACAATAAACCCTATTATATGGCCTTGGGCTTGGGTATACTATAATAAGAACCCCACATTTCATCTACTTAAGGGGGACTATAACCCTAAACCTTAAAGCTTAAACCTTAAATCCTAAACCTTATACTTCATCTACCTACGGGGGACTATAACCCTTAAGCCCTGAGCTTGAATTCCGGTACCTTATGGGTTGTGGTCCTCAAGCCTTAAGGCTTCAAGTTCGCTGGTTGCTGTTGAGAAACTTAACTTAAGGGTTTAGGGGTTTAGGTTTAGGGCTCTAGGGTTGAGGGCTTAGGGTTGCTATATTACATGGAAAATGAAATGGAAACTGGGGGGGAGTAGAATAATTCAAGGAACTTGATTTAAGTTACGATATTAGGGAAACCATATTAGTCTCTCTCTCTCTCTCTCTCTCTCTATGTATATATATATATAGATGCCCATTATGATGACTTGATTTAAGTTCCTTAACAGAAGCCTGGTCTTCGTTGCAAGTTACCAACTTGAAGCCAAAGCTAAAACCTGCCACCCCCGGGCCCTCTACCTCAAAGCCGCAAATTGGCCACCCTCAAATTTATAACCCTAAGCCTTAAACTCTGAACCAAACCACGAACCCTCAACCCTGAACCAAAACCTTGAACCCCAAACCCTAAACCCAAAAAGCACCAGGTTTCCAAGATGAAAAGCCTGGTTAGCGAGGAGCAGGCGCTCTTAAAGCGGCTCACCATGAAACTGATTTTTCATCAAGGGCTCTCCCTGATCAGGTAGGGTTCTACTATGGGTTTA